CCCATGTTCCTGTCATCCCAAACCACGTCAGCACCCTCACCCTGCTGGCTTCCTACCCCTCCTCTTCTTCAGCCCTTGCCCCCCCCCCCCCCCCCCCTCTCCACCTCCCATAACCCCTCGGCCCCCCTCTCCGTGCTCCTCCGAGGAGGGAAGCAAGCGAGCCTTCAGAAATCCTGCACGATTCTGCTGCAGCTACCGTGCCGAACTCGAGTCTCGGCTTCATCATTCCCCAAGCAATGCTTGCACTTCAGGGTTCCTGCTCCGTTGGGAAGTTCAGCAACGGTGCGGTGACAGACCGTGCGGTGACCTCGAAATCCCCCAAGACCTCACCGCACGGTTCGTCACCGCACGGTCTTGGGACCCTGGAGGCCCCTGTCGCCCGAGACATCCTCGGAGAACGACCCGAGTCCCAAAACTGTGCGGTGACCCCGAATCCCCACCGACTCACCGCACGGTGTGGTCACAACCCCGTTTGGGGGTCCCCGATCCGTTTCCAACGTAACTAACCTCCTGTTCCGCCCCGGCCTGTGTGTGGCCGCCCGTCGTCGCTCGTCGCCGCCGACGTCGCCGCTGGTATTCACTGGGCCCAATGCCGCCCTGGCCGGCTCGTGGCCGTCCGTCGCCGCCGGGCCTCGGTGCAGTCAGCTCGTGGCCAGCCGTCGCCGCCCCCAGCCGACGCCCATGCAGTGCGACTGCAATCGCATCGCGTTGCAATCGCACTGCGGTGCACCGCATGGCATCACATCGCACTTCATTACATTGCATTGCATTGCATTGCTTTGCATTGCAGTGAATTTGCATTGCATTTGCATTGCGTCGCATTGCATCACATCGCTTTGCACGGTTTTCCTCTGCCTCCCATTGCTTTGCATTGTGTCGCATTGCCTTGCGTCGCGTTTTATTGATTTGCAGGTTTTGCATTGCGTTGCTTTGCTGCTCATTGCTCTGCAATGCTTTCCATGAGTTCACATGACAATGTCTTTGCACTGTTTCGCACTGCCTTGCATTGCATTGCTGTGCTGTGCATTCCGTTGCACAGCTTCGCTATGCTTTGCACTTCGTTGATTCCCCTGTCTAAAAAGAGAATAGACTCTACCCCCCCCCCAGCGTTATCGCCCCCCCTTTCGGGTATGTAAATCACATATGATTATGACCACATGTCCATCCTAAATATGAAATCACAATGTCCCAGGCCAACCGGTATTCCCCCCTGAGGTTCCCTTGTAAAAAAAACACTATGCGGTGACATTTGTTGTTCTAACATAGCACTTGTTCACGAATCCCTTGCAAACAACTGGACAAAGTGCACACGCGCGCGTCGTCGCGCGCGCATGCCGAAATCCTTCAAAAACCTTCCGTGCCGGAAGGATTTCGCAATCGAGTTCCCAAAAAACATACAAAAACACAGGGTTTCGTAACACTGATTTGCTAAACAAGCTGACGCGCGAGCTCTTGCGAAATCTTAAAACCATTTGGTTTTTCAAGATTTTCACAACATGCAACCAAACGGGCGTCGCGCGCGCATGTCGAAATCTGTCGAACGCCCCTGCGCGTGTGCCGTCGCGAGAATCCTCTGCAAAAAGAAAACGAAGTGCAGACGCGCGCGTTGTCGCGCGCGTAAGCCGAAATCCTTCAAAACCAATCGGTTTCGGAAGAATTCCAAAATCGCGCGTCCAAAAAAACGAATAAAAAACACGAGGTTTCCCAACACGGATTTTGAACAAAAGCGTGCGCGCGCGCTCTTGCGGCGTCGTCTTCGTCGTCGTCGTCGCCGTCCTTTCTCGTCCCGCGTCGTCGTCGTCGTCGCCTACGTCGTCCTGTGTCTTTCCTCGTGTTCGTCGTCGTCGTCCTCTTTGGCGTCGTGGTCGTTTCCGTCGTCGTTGTCGCCGTGGTCGTCCTTCCTCCTCCTCCCTCGTCGTCGTCGTCGTCCGTCGTGGGCGTCTCGTCGTCGTCCCTCCTATTTCGTCGCCGTCGTCGTGGTCGTTGTCGTCGTCGTCTCGTCGTCGTCTTCCCTCCTCCCTCGTCGTTGTCGTCGTCGGCGTCGCCGTCCTTCCTCCTTCTTCGTCGTTCGCGTCGTCCCCGTCCTCCCTCCTCCCTAGTTGTCGTCGTTGTCGTCGTTGTCGTCGCTGTCGCCGTCGTCGTCCTCCCTCCTCCCTCGTCCTCGCCGTCGTCGTCGTCGTCGTCGTCGTCGTCGGCCGTCTTGCTTCTCCGGCCTTTTTGGGGCGCTCTTGAGACGCCCCCGAGGGCTCCAAGACGACCCCGGAGCGATATCTGTGCTCTGTCCCGCACGGGTTTTGCAAACCAAGTTGAGGGTGGGTGGGTGGGATGATTGCGCAAGCAGTGGAGTTGACAACATCAAGTTCGGCAAGTGATTTTGCACCACGTAGATTGCACCGCATATTTTGCCCCACCTGGATTGCACCACATTGATGCAAATCTAGAAAGCACCGCACACATTGCAAGAAACAGCTGTTCGGGGTCCACGCTGGCTGACATACACAAGCTTGGATTTGAAGACGGGACCTTACATCCTAACCTGGAGAAGATCAAACAGTGGCCGTGCCTCGCACGCACTCCCTTTCAGGTCTCACAGGATTTCGACGGCAACAGCGAGTCCTTACCGCATTCGGGGGCAGCCGTGGGAAGCCACGGGGCCGAATTGGACACAGGAGGCGCCAGAAAGAGGAGCGCGCGGGAAGCGTGATGGCATGCCACGACAGTGGACACCCCAAGAGCCCTCTCACTGAACTGACAATTGTGCATCAGATGCAAGACAATGTCCCAAACATGTTTTACACAGCTGTCTCACATGCTAAACACATGTTTAACACATGCTTTAGACAGCTGGAGATTACTTGACAACACGCTTCCTCGCCATCGATCGTCCTCCCTTAGGGAAGGGAGAGGGGGGCACGCTCGGAGCGTGAAGTCCCCTTCGGGGCACGGGCCCCGCGAGCAAGACCCTGAGGCAAGCAACCCTACGGGCGGCCACCACGCGCCCTCCTAAACGTAGAAACTACACTCCCAATACTGAATAAGAAACGCCCTCCCAAATGTAAACATAGGGCCCTCCCAAACCATCCCAAACGCAGATCTATAGGGCCCAAAAAGAACCATTCCCAGGCACGAGGGAAGCCTCTCCCTCCACGGCGCTGACTCCCACGCCCTCTTTGCGAGCCTCGGCCGTGGCCGCGTGTGAAGACAAGAGAGCACATCGTCCAGGCCAGCTGTAGGCCCTCCGAGAATGTTGCTTCGGAGCCCCCTGCGAAACGAAAGACATGGAACAGCCGTTGAAATCAGCTGTTTTGGCATCCCAGGAGTGCCCGCCAACGATGCTTCAAATGCAACTGGCCACAATAAACCATAAGTGTAAGGATTCGGGCCGACCTTACTAAAGCCCCTTCCTTGAAGACGATTCCCATCATCAATCACGGTCCCCTTCGGCACAACTTGGCGCAATAGACGGTCTGACAAGCGTCTGGCAAGGCTTCTATCTAGCTTGCCGTGTGAGAACACCCCCACTAGCAGGCGGATTCATAAGCTCGCTGTCCACATGGACCAGGACACCAGAGCACCCACGAAGGCCTCCCGTGAGGCCCCGGGAAACGAAAAGCAATGGAAGCACTAACGGCTCTCAGAGTGCGTTGCTTTCGATGCTTGGAAGTGCCAGGTGGGCTTCACGATGCCTCTGCAAGCCCCACAACGCCCCCAAGAAGGCCCCGAGACGGACCAAGACCTCCCAAGAGCGCCCTAAGAGAGCTCCAAGACGACATCGAGACCCGAACAAACAGCGCCAGGATTGCTCCGCCGAGTCCCTTTACGAGAGCTCAGTAGAACCATGGCGCTAAAGACGGCTCCAAGACGCCATAAAGGCCCCCCAAAGAGGCCCCATTGAAAAGCTATCAAAGCACATCCCACGAGGCTCTCACGAGGCCCCGAAGAACCCCCTCATAAGCCGCCAATACGCCTTCAATAGGGTCAAGGAAAAGGAAGAGGACGAGACGTAGAAGGAAGCAGGGAGAAGGACGAACATGAGGCTGAGGACAAGCAGGAGGCGTGTAAGACGCGCGCCAGTTCAGACAAGGCCATGAATTTGATTAGGTTTTGCTTTGAATGAGAATCATGTGAGAATGCGAGGCGGAATCCCCAGAGAGCACCGGGTCTTTGGGGCCTGGCGGCCACGGCACGCAGCTGTCAGCCGTCGAAGAAAAGAGGCGGGATCACCAGGGAACACCAAGCGCCTTGGGGCCTGGCGGCCGCGGTATGCAGGGTGTGCCAGGCAGGTCGGAGCCCTCTTACGTAGATCTAGCAACTCCAGCCTGTTGGATGGGGAACTCTGATTCCTCCTCCTCCTCCTCCTCCTCGCTGTGCTCCCATGCCCTGGCACGGCAGCGGGGTTTGCCGCAGGCAGCTGGAACCTGGAATCAACACAATGTACGTCCAGGGCATGGCCGTGACGAGCCTCCGACACCGAGCCGCCGCTGCACCCCCACCCTCATCCTCCTCTGCTGCCCCTGGGGGAGCACAAGGATACCGATACCGCTACTCCCAGGGCATCTCCCCGGGTGCGTTCTGACCAGGATGTCGAGGCAAGTAAGGGGCCTATGGGGAGAGGAGAAGGAGGGGGGATCAGGGAGCAGAAGGACGAAAGGAAGGATGAAGGAGAAGGAGGAGACGAGGAGGAGGAGGGAAGACAAAGAGGGAGGGAGGGAGGGGGAAGGAAAATCAAACAATCTTAGAAGACACCCGAAGTTCCCCGAAAGCCTACGGAAACCTCCGTTTCCTCCACATCCTCCTCCTCCTGCTTCTCCTGACGGCCTCCTCCTCATTCTCCTCCTCCTCCTCCTGAGAGCCTGATCTGCCCCCCAAGCGCACGTCCTCGTTTTACCCAATGGTTGTCCTGACCCTGAATGTATACACCACGGTGGGCTCCTGTGACCACTGTGGTTCACAGGGTGGTGGCACAAGGAAGCTGGGCCCAATATGGGGGCCCAGGCGCCCTAGAGCGACCACCTCGAGTCGGGAGGTCATCCTCTCCGCAGGAGTCGGGTGGGGGGCATCATGGCCAGCAACACATGTGCGCTGCCTCTTGGACGCCCCCGAGGCTTTCTCCCCGAAAGAGGAGGAGGAGGAGAAGAAGGAGGAGGAGGAGAACGAGGAGGAGGAGGAGGAGGAGGAGGAGGAGAAGAAGGAGGAGGAGGAGAAGAAGGAGGAGGAGGAGGAGGAGGAGGAGGAGGAGAAGGAGGAGGAGGAGGAGGACGAGGCCCTTGGCGCCACTGGGAGCTGTGCACGGCGCTGGCGCGCTGGCGCGCGCGCGCGCGCGGGCGCGGGGCGTCCTCCCTCGATGCGGGCTTGACGATCGCCTTGCCCAGGTCGAGGGCCACCTCGGACGATCGGGGGCCGGCACCGCGGGGGGGAAGGGAGCAGTGGAGGCACAGTTTCAGAGCCCCGAATCATCAGGGGTAACTCGGGTCAGGGATAACTCGGGTTCGCTTTTCGGGATTCCGAACCCGAGTTATCCCGGACCCGAGTTACCCCGGATATTTCGGGCGTCCAAGAGCCCCGAATCATCAGGGGTAACTCGGGTCAGGGGTAACTCGGGTTCCTTTTTCGGGAATCCAAGCCCGAGTTACCCCGGACCCGAGTTATCCCGGATAACTCGGGCGCCCAACAGTTGGATGCTCAATTTGGGGATGGACAGACCCCCCTTTAGTAAAGCGTGGTTTAGTGAAAACGACCTGAGGCCCAAACGTGGCGGGCGCAAGCCTGGAAATGACGGCCACGGCGCCCTCTCGAGAACCGAAAACGGACAATTCACTCATCGACGTGTCACTGTTGGGGGTTCTGTCCACCCCCGAGAGGCACAGTTGGATGCTCATTCTAGGGGCCTTCCTACTGGAGCAGCTCACTCCTGGGAGGCATCTCTGGGAGGTCTCCGTCAGAAGGGTTTGAAACCATTAAGCCTGATGAATGAAGCCATTGAGCCAGATCAGGCCGGAAAAGGCCCGAGATGCAGCTGGATTAAGCGGGGCTCGCCCGCACTACGCGGGATCAAGCGGGATGAATGCGAGCTGGCCGGTGTCCGACCAGGTGTATACATGCGCCGATTCGGAATTTAACCTCCCAGGAGTTGCATCCAGATCGTTCATTCATGCGTCGAAACTGCGTCGAACGTCCGTTGACCCTAGTCGAATTCGATTCGAACTCGAGTCCAACTAGTCAAATAAAGCCGCTAAACTAGAGACAAACAAGTTTTCGTTGAACTAGAAACAACCTAGAATCAAACGTAACCGTCAAAACTATGGACAAACATGTCCGTTCTATGTTCAGCGGCCAGGGGGCGCAACCTGTGGCGCAGTCAATGGAAGGACGTTCAAAATTTCGGCCGCAGGGAGCGAGGCCTGTGGCACAACACATAGCGCGACCCATGACTGGCGCAACCGACGGCACATCATATGGCGCAACCAACGTCGCAACTGAAGGAACAACTCATTGCACCACCTATGGCATTACCTATGGCGTCGCTTATGGCGCAACCTATCGCATCGCATTGCGAAATCTATGGCGCAGCCTACCGCGCAACCCATGGGTAACGCAACTCACAGCACAACCATAGCGCTACCTATGGAGCAATCGGCGGCACAATCCATAGCGCAACCTGTGGCCCAGTGTATGAGGCAACCTCTGTATAGAGCAACCAATGGCGCAACCAATGGCGAGACTCTTGGAGCAAACCATGCCGCCACACAGAGTGAAGGGAGAGAGCGGGGATGGAGGATACAGAGGAGACAGCGGTGGACAGAGGGCGGAAATGGGGAAACGAGGACAGAGCGAATTTGGATGAGGGATCTGTCGGGGGGCAGCAGGGAGGATGGGGAACAGCGGATACCTGACAGACGAAGAAGGTGAGAGTAATAAAGGAGACAGAGGAGAAGGACGACGACGACGAATGCGACGAGGACGAGGCCGAGGATAAACCAACGGGACATCCACCTCTTGCCACCCGCATGGCTTTCTGCGGGACTGCGCCCGATCTATGCTCGCCGCTTGGGCGTGCGACAGGTCCCAGACGGCGAGCTGTCCGGCGATTACGCGAACGGCCGGGCGAGCGCCCACAATGCACCCCCCCTTCCCACCCCCTTCTCTCCAACCCTCCCCGCAAGTCCAGGCGCAATACGGAACTCAGCCTTCGTCCTCTGCACCGGCGCCGCCGCTCTTGAAACTGAGCCTCACAGGCCTCGGCTTCTCCTCAGTAGAACACGAAAAACGACATAAACAGAGCTTTCGGAAGTCCGCGCGAATTTATGGGATCGGCGCTGGACCCGCGCCAGGGGCGGTGCCGAAAGCACCGCCAGGGAAGGTCCGCCGCCGAGAAATCCGCACGGAGCTCCGAACAGTTCTGCTTCTACAGCTTCTCTTCTTCGGTCCTTGATCCACCTCTTGATCAGCCGTTTGACGCGGTTCTCGCCCTCCTCGGCGGAGTCGCTGGGCGGCGGCGAGGGGATCTCCCTGCCGGCCACGGCGACAAGAACATCTCCGATCCCCACGCCTAGCAGAGCCGCTTGCGACTCTGGCTCGACGAGGCTCACGACAGTGCCCCTGAGGTCGAAACCCAGCGGCCCCTCCGCGAAGTCCAAATCTTTTAGCGCGGGAGAGGCGCACGGCTCTTGCTCACCCTTCGCCAGGCCGGCCAATCCCTCGCGCACGGCCTTCTGGATCTTCTCGTCCTGCTCGCTGATCTTCTGCAGTGCTTTGCTGGCACCCTTGAAGACGCTGTGCGCAACCTTCTCGGAACTCTTCGCCACCTTGTGCCGCCAGGAGCCCGCCACCTTCATCAGCCCGCCCTTCTTCGCTCCGAGCTTCTCCTGCTCAGCCACGCAGGACTCCCCCTCCACCTGCACGAGGTCGAAGCCGCCCGCATGGACGGCGTCCGTAAGCGCATGCCACCCCCCGCTTGCCACGGAGATGTGCCGCCGCCATAGCGGGGTCCCTGTCAGCTGCTTGCCGAGCTCCAGCGCCTCCTGCAAAGCGCCAGGGTCCCCGTCCGCCACCAGGCACAGGTGTATGCAGTCCTCGTCGGGCATGTCCTCCAGGACGGCCCCGATGTCCTGGTGGGCGCCCAGCCTCAGGCACACGGGCAGCACGACGCCCCCGCAGCCGCCTCGCAGATCGACCGCCACCAGCCTCCAGGGCAGCTCCGGCGGATCGTAGACGTGCTCCACCAGCTCCCGTGCCTCCACGGAGCAGATGGGCGCGGCAGCCGCAGCCGAGCTCCCCACGCACATGCAGAACGACCGCGGGGTGGCCTCGTAGAGCTCCCGCGCCCTCTCCACGCCTCTCCTGTCGGAGAATGGCGAACAACAGTATATATTTATAGTAGAAATGTGGGTTTCCCGATATGATGGGCTCCTCCTCCTCCTCCTCCTCCTCCTCCTCCTCCTCCTCCTCCTCCTCCTCCTCCTCCTCCTCCTCCTCCTCCTCCTCCTCCATCTCCTCCTCCTCCTCCTCCTCCTCCTCCTCCTCCTCCTCCTCCTCCTCCTCCTGGACCTGGTGCCCTCGCCGAGGCTGCGCTGCACGGCGCGCGGCAGCCGCGCGGCGAGCTGCGGCAGCGCCTCGCCGGCGGGGCCGTCGGGCAGGTCGCCGAGCAGGGCGAGCACCACGAAGAGGGGCAGGAGGTCCTTTCGGGTCGGGCGAAAGGGGGGGATAGCAAGGGGGGGGGTGAGAATCAGCTCGAGCTGATTCTCAACCCCCCCCTTTGCTATCGCCCCCCTTTCGCTGCGTGATCACGCAGCTGATTTTCCCGGCGCCTCCCGGCGCCGGAGGCGGCTATGTATCGAGGAATGGGCCCCTCGGTGAGGCCGAAACCAGCTGCATGCAGCAAATTTCGTACCCCCCCTTTCCCAATCCCCCCCTTTCGCCCGACCCGATCCTTCTGCTCGGAGACGATCATGTCGCAAAGCAGTAGAGTGTGAGACGTCTCCCCGCAAGGCTCCAGCAGCAGCCGCGCCAGGCCGGTGCCGCCCGCGCCGCCGCACGCCGCCGAGAGCGTGTCGGCCAGGCTCTCGCAGGCGCCCGGCAGCGACTGCAGGGCAGAGGCGCGAGACGGGAAGTGGTATCTCAGCAGCTGCGCCAGAATGCCAAAGACCCTGCCACTGGTGTCCTCGCTGCGCCACACCAGATACTTCTCCGCGAACGCGACAGACAGACTCTCTGGCGTCGCGTCCGCGGGCAGCGCGTCGACCACCGAGCGGCCCGCCAGCAGGCGGGGCAGCACCGCCGGGACATCCGCGAACTCGCCCTCGGCCCCTTCGTGCCTGCCGAGGCAGCGCGCCCAGTCGTCCCTCCGCGCCCTGTCGCGCCCTGGCTGCGAAGGCCTCGCCTCAGGTGGCCGGGCCTGCGACGCCCGGGCCTCCAGGGACGACCTCAGGTCCTGGAAGTTCTCCGCCGCGCTGCACTCGCCATCCAGCGGGCCGTCCCACAGCGCGTCCGAGACATGCGCCTCTGGGAAACTCTCGATGACCTCGCACCGGCCCCGCATCCGTTCCATCCACCTCGCCAGGTCGTCACCGCTGGCGCGCGCCCGGCTGCCGTCGCCTGCGAGCCTCTCTGGCGCGGCGACGCTCGCTGACGCCACAGCCACACTGGGCATGGCCGCCGCGGTGACGGCGGGGTCTGCCGTCACTGCGCCTTCTCCCGCGCCAGGGGCGACGGGGTCGCTCTCGATGACTTTGCAGCGGTCGCGCCTGGTCTCCATCCAGCTCTGTAGCTCCGCCTGTGTCTTCGGACCCCTGGCGGCGGCGGTGGCGGCCGCCACTGGCGCAGAGCTGGCTGTGGCGTCGGCCTTGGAGCCGCTCGGCACAGACTGCCACACCGTACAGTCCGCCCTCTGCTCGGCGCCCTGGAGCCTCGACCCGGTGTCGGCCGTGGAGCCCCCTGGCACCGACTCCCACATCGCGACGCTGGAGCTCTGCCCGGCGCCCTGGAACGCCGCACCGGAGTCCGCGGTCGAGCCCCCGGGAACGGACTCCAGCTCCGTGCACACCTCGCGCCGGTGCCGCAGCACCTGCGCCAGGTCCTCGTCGGACCGGGCCACGGCGGACCTCCCTGGCGCGGCCCTGGCGGCGGGCGCGGCCGCCCCCCGCGGGCTGCCCTCGGCGGCGCCCGCCTCCACCGCCGCGGGGCCGCCTCTGGCGCCCGCGGCCTCAGCCGCTGACGCCTCCGCGGCCTCGGCGACCGCGGCGGTGGAGGTCTCCGTGGCCTCGGGTTCGGCCTCGGCGCACGCCGCGCGGCGCTGGCGCAGCACCTCGGCAAGGTCGTCCGCGGCTCTCGGCGTGGCGGCGGTGCCGGGGGCCTGCGACGCAGAGGTGGGCGCCGCGGCCGCCGCACGCGGGTCCGCCATGGGGTGGTGGTGGTTTGAAGGGGCCTTGCCCTGCTGCGCTGCGCGATGGGCGCGGGCGCGGGGCGGCTGAGCGCACGCGTGGCGTGCCCGCCTGGGGCCTCGGGCGGCTGCAGACCCAGATCCCCTCGGGCCACGAAGGAAAAGCACGGCGGAAAAGTGTTGAACGTTTTCGGTGAACGACCCTGGACGGAAAACTGGTCCCGGGGGAGGGGACTAAACCTTAGGAGGCGACGTTGCGAGCAAAAAAACACGACGTCAGAGTTCTGGCGAGGGGGGCCGAAGATAGAGAGGAAGCCGTCCGCGTTCTGAGGCCACAGGGCGGCCACCGCGAGGGAAGAGAGGAGAGGGGGGGGGAGGATATGGGGACAGAGGAGGCGGAAGGCCAGATCTACGACGTCGCATTGCTTCGCAACGTGCGGGCCCCAGAGATCTGGACCCGACCATCCCGAGCCGACTCTTGACGGCTGCGGCGCCCTGTGAGGGCCCCTGGAGCCCGAAAACTGGCAGAATCCACCGTCGGCCGCGTTTGCCTCTCGGCGCGAGGAGGTCAGTGTGACCGGGGAGGCGGGGAAGAAGCAAGGGCTCCCAGCTTCGCGCTTCGCGCTGCGCGAAGCGCGAAGCGCGAATAACTTCGCGCTCTCGCGCCGCCCCCCCAAAGGGAGAAAAGGAGGACGAGGAGGAGGGGGAGAAGGAACGAGGACCGCGAAGCGCGAAGCGCGAATAACTTCGCGCCCTCGAGGGAGCCCTTGAAGAAGGGAGTGCACACGGAGCTGCCTCCTCGCGGCCAGAGCCTGCCCCCGAGGACCCCACCCCAGAAAGGCCTCCGACGCCTCGCGGGACGCACAGGGGCATATGAACACTACACGTCCTCCTTGGAGGCGCGCGCCCGACCCGAACATACAGTATACCCATCTTGTAGCACATCGTTTCCCGAGCGGTGTGGCCAGAAAGCGCCCGCCACGACGCATGTACCATAAGATGTCTCGGTGCGCGCGTCGACCCAGGGGGGTCCACGCACATATAGTATAAGCATGTTGGCGTGACGTCGAGCTCGAGCTCCATCGGAACTCCGGAGCTCCCGAACGTGCCACGAGACCGGCCTTCTCATCCCCTGGGCCGCCCGACCTTCGCGCCTCGCGCCCCGCGATATGCGCGACGCGCCGGTGCCTTCGCGCCCTCGCGCCTCCTCCGGCCCGACAGGGGGGCTGAGGCAGAACATACGAAAATGAAGGGGAACTGGGACACACAAATAAATACACACAAATAAAAAGATTCCCCATATTTTCTCATATTTTCTGGGTTTCTGTCTTCCCCCCACTTCCCATACTTTCCTATATTTTCTGGGGAATCGAGGATTAATTGTGTCTGTGTGTTTCTTTCCCTCCTGATCATCCCCTGGGCCGCACAACCTTCGCGCCTCGCGCCCCGCGATGCGCGACGCGCCGGTGCCTTCGCGCCCTCGCGCCTCCTCCGGCCCGGCAGGGGGGGCCGAGGCAGAACATACGGAAAGGCACTCGCACCGGCCGAGCCCAAAACCACTCTGAAGAAGCACATCCCAGGGAGGGAGGGAGGGAGGGAGGGAGGGAGGGAGGGAGGGAGTGGGAGGAGGAGGAGGAGGAGGAGGAGGAGGAGGAGGAGGAGGAGGAGGAGGAGGAGGAGGAGGAGGAGGTGGCGCTCCGCGCGGATCTCTTGGGCCTGCGCTGGGCCCCCCTCTCCCTGGCAAGGCCGGAGGGCGGGCGTGCCGAGGCCTCGCACGGTGCCCGCCCGCGGGGGCGCCCGGTGGACGCCTCGTGCGGCGGGCGAACACGTGCAGAGCTTTCACCCGGGTCAATGCGACCCTGGCCCTGCAGGATCCTGCAAGGTCGGGGCGCTCTGGCTGACCCCCGTTTGCATTGACCCCCGTCTCGAGGCTCCCGCACGGTGCCCGCCCGCGGGGTTCCCGGCGGGCGCCTCGTGCGGCGGGGGAGCGTGCAGAGCTTTCGCGGCGTGCCTGCCCGTGGCCAGGCGCCTCGAGGGCGTCCCGTGGGCGCCCCGTGTGCAGGAGAGCCCAGAATCGAATCGATGTCGGATCGACGATCGGAATGAGCCGGATCGGCGGCAATCGGCAGCCAAGCCGGGAAAAGTCGAATCGGCGGACATCGGCAGGCCAGTAGGCCTCCATGGAGGAATCGGCATCCACATCGGAATCCGAAGTCGAGTCGAATCGGAATCCGAAGCCATCGAAATCGAATCGAATCTAATCGGAGGAATCGAAATGAGCCCTGCGTGTGCGAGTGCACGCGTTTTCTGTGGCGGGAGGGGAGGAGAGCGGGCATCCCAGCGAAAGCCTCCACGAGCGGCGCGAAAATCAATTCGGGTGGAACCTGCGGGGGTGCCTGTGCACCGAGGTGTCGAGCGGATGTGTGCCGAGGTGTGGGTGTGCCGAGGGGTCGCCCGGTGCCTGCACGCGTGTGCCTCGTGCGCGCCTCGTGCGCTGGGCGGTCGCACGGAGTGCACTGCATAGCCTGTGCCACCCAGCTCGCGCCACGTAGCTTGCAGCACACGGCTTGCATCACACAGCTTGCACCGAGCAGTTTGCACGCCATAGCTTGCACAACATCGATTGCATCGGACAACATCGATTGCACCGCATCGCCCACACTGCACCAGACTATATAGCTTGCACCACAGGCCTTGCGCCACATAGCTGACACGACCACAGTGTAAAAGTTTACGGGTCGGGGCCTACGCTAGCAACCACGCTGGTGCAGAGAACCTGCCCGCAGATGGGGAAGCTTTTCAGCGTGGCCCCAACCATGTGCGAAGGCCCTGGCTGAGGCGCGCGCATCCATCGCAAGCTTTGTCATTGTGGAAAGGGGGTCCTGAGGGACAGATGTCCTGAAACCCCGAGCCTCTCCGGGACCAGCTCTTCATCCCGAGACGATTCCTGGCGGCTCCAGGGCCCAAGGATGGCGCAGGAAGCCAAAGGCGGCGAAACTCATCGGAAAACCGCTATAATTCAGGACCTTGTCTCTCCAGGGCGAAAACTTGAAGCAGGAAACGCGAGCGATAGACCTAGACAACTGATGGCCAGGCTTTTTCGAAACATGGGCCCCTGGATTTCTCGAACCCTCCCAAGGGATCAGCTTCTTATCCCGAATGTTCTGCCACTGTCCTGGGACCAAGAAACGAATTCCGAACGCTGCGAGAGGCTAAAACCTTCCAGCGCGTGCCGTGTGCTCAAGGCGCCTCTCAATCGGCGGTGGACAAACTTCCCTTTAGTAAACCTCCCCTTAGTGAAAACGGCCTGGGACCGAAACCGACGGACCTGGACCCGCAAAAATGACGGCCGCGACGCCCCCTCGCGCGCCGAAAACGGCCAATTCCTTAATCGACGTGTCAGGGTAGGAGGTCAATCAACCTACGACTCAAGATCAATCCCACGGACCCCGCCCGAGGCCCATCCTCGCCAGACTCCCGAGGCTCGCCTAGCCATTGGCCGCAAGCAGCCTCCCAGAGGCAAGAGAACCCAGAATCGAATCGATACATCGGATTGGCAATCGAAATGAACCGGATCGGCGGAAGTCGCGAGCCAAGTCCGGAGAAGACAAACAGGCGGAACTCGGCAGGCTAGTTAAGGCCTCCTTCGAGAAACCGAAATCCAGATCAGAATCCAAAGACGAATCGAATCGGAATCGGTCGAAATCCAATCGAACCGAATCGGAGGAGTCGAAAGGAGCCTTGCAGAGGTCCAAGCACGTCCAGAAGCTGCGGCCCTCGTTCCTCGATGCTCGATCGGGCGGGTTGACGCTGAGGGAGGCCCATGGAGAATGGGCGAGATAGGACGAAGGGGGCACAGGGGCGCCCCAGAGGCCCACAGGAGGCCCAGCGCGCCCCCAGAACCTCGGTCCTGGACCCTGCGTAACGCGTTAAGCACCTTCGTGAATACGACCAGGGAGCAGACCTGACGGGCGTAGTCCCGCAATCACTGCGGCCGCAGAACCATCCCGAGGACCGAGAAAGGGCAACTCGCCAATCGATTTGGGAGGGCTGGGTGGGGCTCTATCAACCTCCGATTCCCTTGGCACGCCCGAAGTGGGTACGGGAGCATAGCCCGTGCCAGCCAGGAGAAGCAGAGCGGGCCCCAAGGGCTGGCACCTATAACACGCCACTGCCAGCATTCCGATTCAGCAGCAAGAAATCATCTCAGCTCATCCTCTAGCCTGCCTAACTTCGCGCATCGCAGGGCACGAAACACAATTTTCTCGCGGCGCTCCCCTCGGAGGACGGAAACCTCCATGGCAGCATCTGGCCCAAACCACGCCGCGCGGAGCGCGACCATGTTCGCACCCCTGGGAGTGACCCAGACCGAGGGGCCGACGACAGGGGGGAAACCAGCTCGGGTGAAGGCCTCCCGAATGGGTCCACATGGATGGGGTCGGGGGGTGGCACAGGCTCGGCGATGCCTCGGCGCCGTCGGCGTGGAGAGCATCGGGCGCCACGTCGAGCCGCACCGCCGACACGTCGGCGATACGGCGCGATCCCCCGACTCCATCTGCTGCGACACCACTCGGGGAGACGTGAGACCCGGGTACGGGGGACTCGGAAATCCCCGACGAGGTCGTCAAAAAAATGACGAGGCCGGGCCTGCATTTTGACGAGGCCTCCCGCTGCAGACATCCCACGAAACTCCTCCTCGTCCAAATCCGAGGCGCGGTCGTCAAAAAACGATGGCGAACCCGAGTCCCGGCAAACCCGGGTCTTACGCTCCCCCGACTCCATCTGCTGCGACACCACCTGGGAGGCCGAGATCCGGGGGGAAGCCTCGGCCTGGAGTCGGCGATGCATCGCCGGTGCAGTCGGGCTGCCGAGAGAAGGAACGATGGTAAACAAGGAACGGAGCCCCTTTTTTTGGCCCCACGAGCGCCTTTGCGAGCACGAGGAAGGCTAGGGGAAAAGCCATAGAAGAACCCAAGGAATATCCAGCCCCTTTCTTGCCCAAACTGTTCCTTACGTCAGGTTCGCGTGGCGATGTCGTCGGCGTTGGTTCTTGACACCGCGTCGATCGTTCAACCTTGAACGATCGGCGGCGTTTCGATCGCCCGATCGTTCAACATCGAACGATCATGGGCCACCAGCGGCCTTCAACCTTGAACGCCCGCGGCGGAGTCGCCAACGCGTCAACGCCGCACGAACCTACTGTATTTCAACGGCTTGGCTGCAGGTCGGCGAGGGGCCCCCGAGCGGCCGCCCCCCCCCCCCTCGGCCTCGGCGGGGCGCCTGGGCGCGGGGGCCCCGAGGCCTGGCTCCACGGCCTCGGCCCAGTCCCTCCTCCTCCTCCTCCTCCTCTCTCCTCCCCCTCCTCCTCCTCCTCCTCCTCCTCCTCCTCCTCCTCCTCCTCCTCCTCCTCGAAGGGGAATCCAGCCGTGGCGACGAGGGGACTCCCTGAAGGCACAACGGGGGCGTACCGACCTCGACCCCCTCGAGCCTCGGTCTCCCCACCTCGGCCCGAGCAGACGAGGCCAGCAACCGGGCCAAAAGGCCGCGAGAGGCCTCCTGGAGTCCCCCCGACATGCGCGCAGCACCCTGCACCTGCAGATACGAGCGGGGGTGCGGCAAACACTGCCCCCTCATGGTGTCCCCAAGTGTAGCCCCCATGAATCGCCCCCAAGCGATGCCACCATGCCTTACCTAAGTATGGCCCCCATGCCCCATCCGCTGCCCGCAAGCATCGTCACCGTATACTGCCCCCAAGTATCGCCCCCTGGGACCGAAGACTCCGTCCAACCACGCGCGCGCAGGGAATACAAAAGACCGTCTGGGCCCCCCTCACCCTGATTTACCTACATCTGCATCTGTGTATATATTCACATACATACATACATACACACAAACACACATGTCTATATCTATATATATATGACGCGCGTGCACATATTCAAGACATCGAGACCTAGCGTCGAACCGTCATCCGCCAGGGGCCGACGCGAGAGTAGAGGAAAAACCGCACGTCGGAGGTCCAGGATCCGGGTGTCCGATCCGAGAAGCCAGCGCGGAAATCCCCACGTCGATGCACGCTTGCGCAAATGGTGGTCGTCAGAAGTAGCGAGGAAGAAGGAGAGAGAGAGAGAGAGAGAGACAACAATAGAGAGAGAGGGCGAGAGGGAGAAGAGTAAGGGGGGGAGAGAGAGAGAGAGAAAGAGAGAGAGAGAGAGAGAGAGACTTCGACAGAGAGAGAGAGAGAGAAAGACAGAGACAGAGGGACTGACAAGAAGAGGCAGACACATGAGGTGGATACAGGACACAGGCCGGGAAAGAGAGAGAGAGAGAGACAGGAAGAGATAAAGAGAGAGAGAGAGAGGAGAAAGGAAGTCTGCGAGAGAGACCGGCACAGAGGCAGAGGGAGAGAGAGAGAGAGAGAGAGAGAGAGAGACAGAGCGAGAGACGGCGACAGGCAGAACACACGAGGGGGCCACGCGGCGAGGAGGCCCTTCGGCCAGCGCGCCTTGCCGCCGCCCTCCGCAGCGCCGGCGCCCCTGCCGATCTGCGCCTGCTGGCAGCGGACACGCGCTCCCAGCGGCGCCGTCGCCGTCGCCGTCGCCGCCGCCTTCGGCGCCGTCGCGGCCATCGCCGCCGCCGCCGTCGCCGCCGTCGCCGGCGCTGTCGGCTCCATCGGCGTTGTCGCAGTCGTTCACCTCGTTGTGGTCGTTCACCGTGAAAGTGGGAGGTGGAGGTGAGGAGGGGAGGGGAGGGGCAGGAAGAATACATCCGGCGGTATTGGGATGTCTTCGGCGTCTCTCGAAAGCTTGTCGTCGTCCTTGTCCTCATGCAGAAATCAACCGCGGCTTCTTCCAGTTCCCTTCGCCCGCAGGGCAAGGGCGATGAGAAGAAGGGGGAGAGGGACCATGAGGGAGGGGGGAGGGAAGGAGGCAGAATGCAGAAGGCCAGAGATAAGCTTCCCCCCTCCGCTCTTGCAGCGATCAATTCCTCATCCTTCTTTGCCTGATAAATGGCTCCTCCCTGTCGCACCCCCCAGATGTGTCCGTAAAGCGAGCAGGGCGTTTCGCCTGTCCAGCTTTACGGATGGAGGGCAAGCCGTTTTCGAAGTGTGGCTCTCGCCCTGGCGCCGCGCACGCTCGTCTGAAAAAGATGCTGCACTTTCAAAAATAGAAGGCGGGCCGTTGCCTAATGTGGCTCTCGCTTCAGTGCCGCGCACATTCGCCTTAACAATGGGCAAAGCTTCAAACCTGCCGGGCGGAACCTTTTCAAAATGCCATTCTGGCCACAGCGCGGCGGACACTCGTCAAACGACCATGGCAACAATTTGAAAGATGCCCAGCGGGTCCTGTTCAAATTGTGAATCCCGCCTGAGCGCCACGGGCAGTCGCCTTAACATGTCGCAAAAGCTTCATTGACAGAGGGCGGGTCGTTTTCAAAATGTGGCTCCCGACTTAGTGCCACGAGCATTCGTTTTAAACATTTGCAACAGTTTCGGATGCGGGGCGAGTCCTCTTCAAACTGTGGCTCTCGCCTCAGCGCCACGCTCATCCGTCTTCAAAAATTGTAGCAGCTTCAAGAACTCGTGTGGTCCAAATCCCAGGAACGGCGTTCTCGAACGATTTGGCAAAGTAAGGGCGCAACAGCCACGCTGATTCGTTGGGTTGAAGTGCCAGGGATGGTGTCCTGGCACGATCTCAAATTGTCTTGACCCAGCAATAACGTTGATTCGCGGCGCTGATGATCTCTGGATTGTATGGCGTCGCAGCTGAAAAGTATGAAACTATGGTGCCCCGATGGGGCATGCCCCGCAATTAGTTGGAAGAAGTTCTTGCTGGTAACTCTGAAAAGGGAACTTGAAGGGAGGGTGTATTGCAACATCGTTTACGCGTCTTGGGGCCTATGCTGGTCAAACACCCCTCCTCCTGCTCCTCCTCCTCGTGTTGATCCTCCTCCTGGCGTCCTTCCTCATCGTATCGCTTCTCCATCTCCCTCCCCACTCCTCCTCTTTCCTACTTTCCCCCTCTCCTCCATTATCCTCCCCCTCCCCCTCCTCCTCATCTTCCCCTCCTGCTGACTCTCCTCCTGCACCTGCTACTCTTTCTACTCCTCCTTTTCTTCCTCCCCCCCTCTTCTCCTTCCCCTCCTCGTCCTCCTCCTCCTCCTCCTCCACATCCCCACCCCCTCACTTGACCCTCCTCCTGCTCCTCCTTCGTGGGGCCCGGAAGCGGCAGGGGCGTTGTCTTACAATTATGATGTGCAACCTCTGGAACATGAAAGCGGAGGAGACAAACAATGACTGGTCTTTGGGACTGGAAACGATACCACCAGGACTGGCAAACCGACGGCGACCGAACCAGGGAAAAAACATAGCAAAACCAACACCAGAAACTGCAAAACGAAACCGAGAACAAAAACGGCCCTGTCGTTTTCAGGGCCCGCCAAGTCGTCGTCGTCGGCGTCCTCCTCCTCCTCCTCCTTCTCCTCCTCCTCCCCCTCCTCCTCCTCCTCCTCCTCCTCCTCCTCCTCCTCCTCCTCCACCTCACCCTCCTCCTCCAAGTCTTTCTCCATCACTTCCAGCCGTTTTGAAAGCCTCAGAGACTTTGATACCGTCCTCCTCTGCTCTCTGGGGGACCACGGCGCGCTCCGCGCCGCCCCGCCCCCCCACCGGCGCCACGCCGGGCGGGGGATACAACGCCCCCCCCCAAAAAAAAATCGGCCTCCTCCCGTTCCTTTGGGTCCCGTTGGGGCTGCTGGACTCAGACCAGCCCTCCCCTCGCCAGAATGGGAGGTGCCAGAGGAGCGGCCGCCGCACTGCGGGCGGCCGCGACCGCCTCCATCTCGCGGGCCTTCCGCACCCGCGCCTTGCGCGGAGGGGGGAGGCACGGGGGAGGATGGGGAAGAACAGGGAGGAGGGGAGGAGGACGAGGGGGGCAAGGAGGAGGAGAGGAAGAAATAACAGGAGGAGGAGGAGGAGGAGGAGGAGGACGAGGTGGCAGGGGAGGAGGGGAGGAGGGATAGGAGGGAGGAGGAGGAGGAGGAGAAGGAGGTGGCAGGGGAGGAGGGGAGGAGGGAGAGGAGGGAGGAGGAGAGGGACAGGGAGGAGGAGTACGAAGGGAAACGAATCAACACCCAAGCGTGGTGGCCGAGTGGAGACGAAAAAGGAGGGGGAAGGGGGGGGAAAGGAGGAGGGGGACGCACGACGGCGGAAAGGGAGGACGAGGAGGAGGAGGAGGACAGGGAGGAGAAGGAGGAGGGTGAGAGTCCAAGGCTCCAACTGTCACAACGATCACACTATGAATCCGCCTCCCAAGAAGGAGCCATGCATGGCCTAAACCCGTGCACGATGTAAGCAAGCGGAAGGAAAACCTTGTGGCACTGAGGGGAAAGGAAAGGTGAAGAAGTGGGGGAGAGCGGAAGGGAGGGGGAGGAGGAGGAGGAGGAGGAGGAGGAGGAGGAGGAGGAGGAGGAGGAGGAGGAGGAGGAACATGAGAAAGAGGAGTAGGAGGAGGAGGAGGAGGAAGGGAAAGGAGCAGAGAGAAAAGGTTTTCGTCCCAGTCCCAACGCGAAGCAACTGGACGCTTCGTCCCCAAGCGCTGCATATAACCGCACAGGAGCTGCGCCACCGCGTGAGACGGATAATCGCACGATGGCCGTCAAATATCAGAGTCTTCGAGCCCATGCGTAGCATGCCTGAGCAAGGCGTGAAACGAAGAATCAGGGCAGCTACATTCCACGTTCCTCGTGAAGCAAGGCCTGAGGCCCAAACTGGACCAGTCACACAAACAGCATAGCAAGAGGAAGATGAGAAACATTGAGAAAGCACCAGCGCCCAAGAAGGGGATTGAAACTTACGCGAGGCAAACGCGCCATGTGTATGTACCCTGGCTAACGCCATGGTCAGTGGTACATCGCTCAGACACGAGGCAACGAGCAGCGGTGAGAGCAGAGAGAGAGAGAGAGAGAAAAACAAAGAGAGAGAGAGAGAGACACACACATATATATATATATATGAGAAAGCAGAAAAAAAGAGGGAGAGAGAGAGAGAGAGAGAGAGAGAGCGAGAGAGGAGCAAAGAGAGGAGCAAAGAGAGAAAGAAAAGGGAAACGGCGAGAAGCCGGGGTGGGTGGGTGGGGGGACCGAGAAAAGGAACAGAGAGGAGGGAGAGAGAGGTGGAGGGCGAAGCTGGCGGGGGGATCAGAAGAGAGGGGATGCGAAAGATGGGGAGTGATACCTGAGAGGACGACACTGCGGCTGGCAAAATTGGCAACACCTACGGCGAACTGGAGGTCTGGATCCCTGCCCCTGGACCGGCTTCCCCTTGTGAGTCGTCTTTGACGGCCCAAGGGGCCCAATAAGGGCCCCGAGAGACCGAACACTCTCAAAACCTACCGCCGTGATTTGTTGATATAATGGACACCGAACGACTCGATTTTTCACCTAGACGCTGGACCCTGCAACTCGCTCACCTATTCCCGGGGAACTGGTTCTTCGCTGCAAAGGCGCATCCCCTGCCCTCCGACGATATGATGTAGATTCAATCCTTGCGCTTTATCTGAATTGCGAGCCTCGGGGGTCCGTTTCGCGCCCCGGGACCACAGACTGCCCAAAGGAGTTGGTCGGGGCCGCGGGTTCAAAAAGTCAGATCGGCGGATGTCGGGGGCTCCCGGTAACCGAAGAAGGCGAACACACTCGGCGAGATGATTCTTCGAGCCGCCAGAAACTCAGAGATCCGACGCTTTGATGTTGTTCGATGCGGGGTCCACCGGACATCCCGACCCTGTTCCCAGTACCGGCTTTGCGTCCTGCGTTTTGTTCTGACGGTCCCAGGGCCCAGCAAGGCACCCTAGCTCTTGAACGCAAAAAATACGTACTGATTTCTGTCAAAACGCTGGATGTCTGGGTGGTGGACAGTTGTCGATGGTCACAGGGAACTCCCGACAGCATGTGGCGACCGACGAGCCGGAGCCAAAGGCTCAGCCTACAAGGAGGCCGCCCTCCGCAAGTCTGCCCAGACCAGTGTCAACGGCACTCTGTTTCCCTCCTCCTCCTCCTCCTCCTCCTCCTCCTCCTCCTCCTCCCTCGTCCTCCTCCTCCACCTCCACCCCTTCCTCCTATTCCTTGTCCGAGTCAGTTCGTCAATCTCCTCCTCAGCCTCCACCTGATCATCCGCTTCTGCGTCCTCCTGATCCTCCACTTCCTCCTCCCCATCGTACGTGTCCCCATCCTTCGCCTGCGCCTCAGCAAGATGTGTCTCCACATCCTTCTCCCCATGCCCCTCCTTCTACCCCATCCTCCGACGTTGCATGTTTTTCTCAAGGCTCGATCCCTGAACCAGGACCCTCGACCATCGAACCTCATACTCCTCAATCCTCGGCCCTCGATGCCCAGTGCCCGAAAAACTCGATCATCGAACCTTGAACGTCGAACCTCGAACCTCGGTCCTCGACCCTCGAACCCTCGAACCTGGATCCGAACTCGATCCTCGCCCTCGACCCTAGACCCTGTAACCCTCGAACATGAACCCGGACTCTATCCCTGGCCTCGACCATCGTACCGTCTCCTCCTCCCTCTGATCCTCAACGGTCGCCTCCTGCTGCCTTCCAGCGCGCCACAGCGGAGACGCGTGGGAAGGGGGGGGGGCCTGAATCACGGCGGTCGGGTCGCGGCAGCTCGACATCGTGCCCGCGCTTATGACCTCGGCGGCGCGCGGCTGGCAGGCAGGCGCCTGCCCACCCACCTCTGGTTGGTCGACATCGTCATGTACCTCCTCCCCCTCCTTTCCCTCACCCCCTCCTCCTCTCCCTGCTGCTCATGCCTCCTCCTCCTCCTTCATATGCCTCCTCCTCCTCCTCATCCTTCTCCTTCTCCTCACTTCGTCCTCTCCCTCACTCCCTCCTCCTCCCCCTCCTTTCCATCCTCCTCCTCCTCCTCGTCCTCCTTATCCTCCTCCTCTTCCGCTTCCTCCATCTCCTCGTCCTCCTCTTTCTCCTCCGTCATCCTCCGTCTTCCTCCACCTCCCCCGCCTCCTCCTTTTCCACTCTCCACCCCCTTTTTCCTCCTCCTCCTCCTCCTCCTCCTCCTCCTTCCTCCCTTCCTCCTCCTCCTCCTCCTCCTCCTCCTCCTCCTCCTCCTCCTCCTCCTCAACACTAAATTCTAAGATCGTTGTGAAACCGAAGACTGTGGGAGAGGTGCGCCCAACCACCTGCGAGATGTACATGACAACCGCTGTTTACGCTGCTAAGCACACTGGGCACACAATCGCGTTGGAAGCATGAACTTTTCATCCACTCGTGCAACGTATCTTTGGTAGCTGAGCCTCTGCACACATTGCGCATGCTGCCATTTTCGGCCACGGCGTGGGAAGACGCGAAGCGCGCGACAGCCAGAGGCGGCGGCGGTGGAGGGAGCTTGGGCCCACGAGGCACCTGCTCCCCTTCCCGATCCCGCGCAGCTCGAATCGAATCCACGGAGACACGAATGAGCCTCCTACGAGCCTGCCTAGCGGAATCGTCGGCGTCGTGCACACGATGTCAGTGACCCTAGGGGGCCCGCGCTCGCACGGCCGCCTCCCCAGCGAGAGCATCAAGACAGTACTTACCATAGATCAACCATCCGAGGAGGCAACGGCAGGGAACCTCGCCGCCGTCTTAATGCGACCGCACCTGCATGATAGTGACAGCTATCGGCGACCTGCCTTTGCGCTGCAGACCTCCGCCGATGCTTCGCCAGAGGTCGGCGCTCTCGCCAGCAGACCGCCGAGGTAGTTCTGCATGCCAACATTTCGCGGCTTCCTAGCAGTCGGTCACGTGGATCAGCGCACCGGTGTTTTTTTTGTTGACACCCGCAGCCAAATACCCCCTCTCGGGGGCACCATCGTCTCGAGATCGGCAGTGGCCCCGAACCTTTTGCAGTCGGGGCGAAAACCTTGGCCGGATCTCGTCCAAACAGAAGTTCGCGCAGGCGGCCTGCCCAAGCATTGCTTCGCAAGCCGCCTCATTCGACCTCCAGTCGTGCACGTGGCACAGACCTGGCAGACACAAGCGAAACTGTTGTCGAAACTATTGTCGCTGGAATTTACCACGAGGCAGCGATGCTCGAACTCGCGCAATTCAGCGGGATCCGCGCGAAGCAATCTAGAACAAATTGCAGGAGCGGGCTTAGCAGGCTCTCTGGAACCGCGCAGGCAGTGCTGGCACTGCCAGAACCGACCTGCCCAACTCCACTCGCGCGGTGGCCTCGGATCCTTCACCTTCGGGGGCAGTGGCCCCACGCGAGCGACCCCCTCTAAAACGTCGGCCGCCGAGCGAGTGGCAGCGCGAGCGGCAGAGCACGACAAACCAATCCCAACTGTCTCGGACGCAGACATTCCGGGATGCATCATGGCTCCGCCCTTTGCTGCCGCATCGGCAGCGCAGTTGCCAATGATGCGCAACCCGTCGGCCATAGATAAAGCCAGGTCGCCTTCCTGGAGAGCCCAGACTGCATAGGCACGACCAAGAAAACCCTGGGCGAAAGCGCCCGTCTGCATCGCCGGCCCGCCGCAGGGCTGATTGGGGCGCAGACGGCCCCGAGCGTTCTTGAAAAACGACATGGCCACAGCCGGGCAGTCAGCACGAAAAGCAGCTTCGGTTCCAAGGAAAGGCGCCGCGTCAGCTGGAGCGGCAAAAACTCCGTGGCCGCGACAGTCGGAAGGCAGAGAGCTCCCAGGGGCACCGAAAAATCTCGCGCAACGGGCGCGCCCCTGCTCGCCGAGGCAGGGGACTTCTCAGACAGAACGGGGGAGATCTTTGACCGCGCACACCCCCCCTGGGCCAGGCGGAAGGAGGTTCTCCTCGGCGAAAGCCCCGGGGAAACATTAGAACTGCACTGCCTGCAGCGCTTCTTCTAGAGAGCGACGGAGGAGCACCCAGGGTTAGGCGCTGAAGGAAGCCTGCCTCGCACAGCAACTCAAAAGTGGGGGGTCCAAAAACTCCGCTCGCACTCTAGAACGCGAGTCGACGCAGACCATGCTAACCCGCCCCTCATCAAATGCAGGGCAGTGCCAGAGACGGCGAAGAACCGCGCCCCCGACCTGCCCGCATTGAGCGCAAACGTCGCCAGAAATACAGCCTTTAGCCACAGCTCTGCTGAAAGGCCATGAGGCGTGGTGCGCAGCGGCGCGGGCTAGTTGTTTTTGTTGCTCGGGCGTCATCTTTTGTTGGTTCCGAAGTCATAGCCCGAAAAACGACATCAAAACACAAGAAGTGGCCATCGCTGAATTTGACCCCGCTTCCACCTCCACCGATTCACGGACGGTGGCCTCGAAAAACCGCCGCAGGAATGAGGGGGGAAGTAAGCGAGAGATGACTCAATGTCCCATCCTCGCCGTCCATCTGAAAAGGGTCGAGCAGACTCCAGTTGATGCACTGCTAGAAGTAATGCGTAGCACCAAATGGGCCACGGACCGACCTCCAAGACTTCGATGGCGAGACCGAATCTGCTCCCGCGATAAGGTCCACGGAGTGGCGCGGGTCTGGAGTGGTCACAGTTCCCCGCTGCATCTAACAAACGGGGCAACGCTCCAAACCAGGAAGGATCGGTCTCAAGGCAAATCAACACCGTTGAACTCCGACTTCCAATGGGCGGCTTCATAGCAGGGCCAAGAACACAGCCTGGAGCTCTCCGCCGAAATCCGCTTGCTGGGGCCCCGCAGGGGGTCCAGGCACGCGGGGCCCCAAGACAAAAAGGAGCGAAGTTAATATGCGCCGCGACGGAGAAACCAACCCCGCGCGGCCTACATTCCAATTGCGCCAGGGCCACCCGGCGCGCCCCTAAAAACAACGAGCGGGTGAGGAGGTCATCGGCGGACCTGCGCCCGACGCAAGCGGGGCCAACGGAGCATCCAACGAGCGAGCCCCCATCCCAAGACCCGCCATTGAGGGCGCTGTGAGATTCAACGCGTGGCGGAAGGGGTGTCAGTAGTGGACGCCAAGTCACTGCTTGACTCTCTCTCCAAGATCACGGGGGGGAGCAAGGCGGACCGTCGCAACGCCATAGACATGGCCCTAATCAGAGATACCCTTTCCAAGGAAGGTGCTTTGGTGAGGTGGGTCCCGCACTGCCGCATGCTGGCGGACCGCTTGACCAACGTGGACCCCCAGAAGGCCAACCTTGCCCTGCCGGACCTCATCGCCAGGGGAACCCTCCTACTGCGAGAAAGGTCAAGGATCCTCGACGAGAGGTCGCGGAATGTCTCTCTGAAGTCTCGCACGCGCACGGCATCTCGCCGTGCACTTCTGTGGAGCGGCAGGCCCAGAGTCAGACCACCCCCACGGAAGAGGAGGAGGAAGCAGAGGAGGCAGAGAAGGCAGGAGATGCTGCTGATGATGATGGTGATGATGATCATGATGATGATGGTGCCGATGCTGATGCTGATGCTGATGATGGTGATGACGATGATGATGATGATGATGATGATGGCGCAGCCCCTTCAAGCACCAGATCTCCAGAAGCCCCTTCACCGCTGAAACAGAGCTCGACTGTGAGGCTTCCGCTTCGAGATTGCCCTCGCCCGAGCTTTGTAAAATGTGAGAACGCACTCAGGACCGAATCGTTTCAGATTCCTGAGAGAATTAAAAGTGCTGAATATAAGATCGTGAGAAAGCATGGTAGAGTACAGGGCAGGAGAGGTAGACACATTATGACTGTGAAGCAGCAGGCGGTCCTGGGCCGTCCAGGAGAAGTAGTCAGGAGGAAGATGGGGCAGAACCTGACAGGGCGGCTCAAGGGCGCAAGGGCAGTCAAAATAGTGGAGGATGTGATCGCCTCCGCACGCTCGGCACCCGAACTGACATGCATGCCGCCTCTGACGGTACCTGGAACTGGTGGCCCAGGAGTTACAAACACATTTCAAGACTGCGGCGCCCACAAACGGGGCAAGTGTTGTGACAGCAAGCTTGATACGCATAACTACGGAATCAGCCTTGGGAAGCTGAGCAGTGTTGTCAAAATGTCTTGTACGAGGGAGGAGGGCCAAATTGGGAAAACTCTGAATTTGCCTACGACTCAGAAGGCTATCCACTTTTTTCTGCAGCATGTCAGTGTCGGAGTCAACTATCATCATAGGAATCGCATTCAGCTGGTTGTAATTGGCAACCAAGGAATAACATATACTGGATTCATACCACTTTGTGTGGCGTAGAACTGCTAGCCGATCAATCTCCTCATTCTCCAGCCAGGCGAACATTCCTCGCACTTCAGAGAACCAGCAATATTCTAAGGCGACCCGATACATACTGGCCCTGGGCTCTCTCTGGAGGTCTCTGGGATCGTTGGGGAAGCAAGGCACCGACGGGGACCTCAGGATATCTGCAGGAATGGAATGCCTGGGAGAGGACGCGAGAAGCTGATGAGCTTTTTTCTCTTTTTTCAGAACAGCTGGCGGCGCCTGATACAGCTGGCCCACAAAGCTGAGCACGGAGAAGGCCAGCGAGTTGCAGGCTATGATATTCTGGCATAGCCCTAAAGACAGACCTCTGATGTGCCAGACTCGCTTGATGTATTTGACCCCATGGAGCATCCCAGGACACCGTGGGCCCATTCGGGCCGATATGAACTTCCAGATACTTGCCGAAGGTGTCGACCCGATACAGCCTTGCTCTAATGCCAGACCCACGAAACATCTCCAAAACCTCTCTCCTGGAGTAAGGCACTGCAAATGCCAGCGAACACTTGCCTGGGTTCAAGATCAGGCCCGTCACCAACGCGGCCTGCGAGAGAGCAATCTCAGCACGACGGGGAGCGTGCGGACAAGGTCGCTGGAAACAATACCTATATCGTCAGCGATCGCAAACGGCCGTGCCAACGGAGTCATAACATAATACAGACACCTGAAAATAGGATCAGCAGCTAGAGCAACTAGTACACCAGATAATGGACAACCCTGTTTGATTCCTCGTGTGATATAGTATCCTCTGAATGTGTCACCTCCTAGTTTGGTACTTGTGCATATATCACGATATAAGTGTTGAACAGCGTCCACGACATAGCCTGGAATAAGCATATGTTGTTACACGGTCAGGATCCACGCGTGATCGAGGCTCGGGAAGGCAGCGGCAAAGTCAAGCAAGAAGAGGCCAGCTCGCTCGGCTCCGTGAAACACTGCATGCGCCAAAAAGTCAGACCCTACCAGCATTATGTTGTCAAGCATACTCCTGCCTTTGATCAACCCAATCTGATTTTTGTGCACAGAAAACTGAGCCTGTTGACCAAAAGGAATACACAGCATCGGAGCGAAGGTTTTATCATCAGTATTGCCCAGGAACAACGGTCGGGTCTCCGCAGCTTTTTTCTGCACCTCCCTTAGGGAGTCGTCCTCGAGATTTTTGGCCAGGAAAACCGTCACCCCATGGTTGAAGCCTCCAGGGAGAGAGTGTCCAGACATAAATTTCAAATATGCTTGGTACAAGATCTCCTTACACTTAATGCTGCTCGCTGCCCAACCTGAGTACGGAACGCCATCAGGACCTGCAGCGGTGTCCTTCTTGTGACGGCATATCAGAGAGCGGAACAATCCAATTGATACCTGGAGAGACTTTCTGGCACTGAGCTAGCAGCATCTCTGAGATATGCGGGGGCACGTTTGGCACATCAGCGGTGGTATGTACCCGGCCCCAGTGGTCAGCAAGTCGGGCGGCGCTGTCCTCTAGACTGGTGGGCGCGTGCCCTTGGTTGTCCAGGATGCCTACGAGCGATATGCGCCTATGCTTGGGAGACCATGCCTTCAAAAGCTTGTGCAGCTTAACTGTGCGCTCGTCGTCATACTGGTACTCTGGGGACTGCTCGTGCTCTCGCAGCTCAAGGACCAGGATGCGCTCTTGTATGATGCGGATGTGCTCGTGGAACCTCGACTGATCTATGATGTGCTCGTGCTGCTCGTCTGTGAACTGTGCGATCTGGTCGTACGCGCGTGCACACTTACGTATGATATGGCTCTGCCCGCTCGAATTGGCACGCAT